GGCTGCGCCGGGCTGCTCTGCCTGAGCAGGGGCGTTCGGTGCGGTTATGGCCAGTCGCAGCACCCTGGCCCGCTGGAGTCAGCCCGCTCTTGGGAACGCCACGAGCGGTTTAGGATACAGCTTTTATGTTTCATTCTTTATCTATCAAGCTCTCTCAGAATGTGTCAACGTAGTTTTCTTTTGCCCGTGTGGATAATACCTGAGATTGGTGTAGGGGATGGAGAGAGTTACGAACAGTTAGTTTGTGGTTTAAGTACAAGAAGACTAATCAGTAGGAAATAGTATTACAGGAAAATAAATTTTAAAAAACCCAACACCAAACAACACCCTGCCTTATTTTTCCACCAGAAAAATAAATTAATGTAAAACTTGGGAAAATATCTGCTGACAATATTACTGCATTAAATTAATTACCTTTGAAGCATGATGGGAGCGCTGGCCCATAGAATTGGCCCTATTTGCCCCTGCAGAACCCCTTGTGATGCTCTCTGGTATTCTGGACACACTGCAGCGGAGTGGAAGAATTGTGCTGAATATCCAGACTATTATTTTCCAGCACAGACTCTTGAGAACTGAATGCCAGATAAGGCAGGAGAAAAAACAAGGAGTGCTGTAATGTCATTTTTAGTTGACGCACGCGTGGACATATGAGCACTATAGATTTTTGTGCAGGAGCTGTTGTAAAACTACAGATGAATAAATGCCTAGAGTCTGTGGAAATCAGGAGCCATTTGTACACTGATTTCTGAGGAATAAAGCTTGTTGGCTAGCAAGCCACATTTTCTGCATGCCTTTCTTCACACTTAGACCACTGTACTTTCGTTACAGGTTCATTTACAAAGGAATTGTTGACATTTAACATTCACATTCATATATATACTGATATAATGCATAAGGGTAATATTTGGGATTTATATTTATAAGCAAGATTTATTTCAACATTTAACGTAATAGACCATCGTATAGGTGTTTTATATTTTCATCAGTGTTTTACACTGCTGTCGTTACATCCGTTTAGTGTACTGGTACACATTTTCTTAATGCAGATTAGACTATAGATTAGATTAGACATAATCTAGACTGCTCTAGAAATATCTGTCAAAGGTTAATTCCCTTTTAACATGAGATTTTACTGCTGCATATCCATATGGAAATGCATACATATATGTATATCTCTCTATCCACCAGACAATTTTTTGTTTAAATCTCCCACTGGAGTTTCCTGGGTTTTCTGTATTCTTTAGATGCTTGGCTACTCAAAAGTCAGGTTCATATGGATTATTTAATCAATGAGAAGAAATTAATAATGGCATTAGAGAATTTTGGCATAACTCAGGTTTTGTTCAAGAATTCTGGAGTGCAGGGAGAGATGTACAACGAGGTATTTGCAGATAACCTCTAGCAAAGAGCTTGGAGCCTGGGGCCTCCCAGAGCTGCATTCCGGGGCTGCTCAGAGTGTGCTGCATGTTCCCCTTTGTGTTTGTTTTTCTGTCCTTTCTCCACAAGAGCTGCCTCCAATCCCATATGTACTTGTTTCCCAGAGCAGTCACCACTTAAAACCCAGGGCTCCTGGTGCATCCACATTTGTGATATGTCATGCATTTGCTGTTGCTTTGAGGGAAAGTGCCCTATCTGAAGGGCACACAAGGTTAACTAAAGTTACAGTTCTAGCGGTAATCAAACTGATGGCTCCCCTGAGCAGGCAAAGAAGAAAAATGCTCCTAACTTGCTGTACTGAAACAGTGTTACTGACACAAGTCAGTGTTTACCGTTATTCATATTCAATACTTGAGAACAGACCGAAAACAGCAAGTGTGGGTCACATCATTCAGTGGACTTAGGAGATCACTGTTAATCAGCCAGTATTCCTAGCTCTTATCTTCTGCAAGAAAGCATTTTTAAGTGAAATGACTACTACATCCAGGTCAAAACACTGGGCATTAACAATCCTAAAAGACACTGGTTTCTTTTACTGACATTTTAGAGCTGTGATTTCAGTAGCAGTCTCTGTGGTCTGGGCACAGGTGGGATGCTGTCAACAGACTGCCTCGTGAGCTGCAGTTTTTAGCCTGTGGTCCCTTTGAAAGGCTCCACGTAATGGTCCAAAGGAAAAATGTATGTAGTATCAGTAGTCTTGAGCATTCAATATGGATGCATTCCTGCTGACTTCTAGTGATTGGATTTTCCTGTGTCCTCATCTGCCTTTGACAATGGCAAAGAAAGATTATTTTATAAGAACAAACTAATAGCAAACTCTCCTGCTCCACTACTGTGCAGAGGCTCAGCCTCATCATATGAAGTGTAAGTACAGTTTGAGCCCCAAGCCATACTGGGAGACAGCAGAGCCTCATACTGCTTAGCAAGTTGTGGGAGGCCTCTAGAGCCGTGTTGTGTATCTTCTGGTAGTTAATTTTGGGAAAGTCAAGGGTTTGTGGGACAGGGTTCTGTTTAATTGTGAAGCATAAATTCAGCATAAGAGTTCAATATTAGATATTTATGAAAACTTCTTTTTTATAATTACCCTCTTCTGTGTTAACTCTAGGTTATTAAAGATAATCCGTGGCTTCAAAAAGAGGTGGGATGTCTGGGAATGACAGGTATGTAACTTTTTTCAGTGCTGTCCCAGGGCATGGATGTGAAGGTGGGCAAGGGACTGGAACTGGGCCCTAGTGGGCCCATCAGTGGGACTCTTGGTGCTGGGCCACAGGGGAATGTTTGCTCAGAAGTTAGGAATGAGGGTGCTCTAGTCTCCCTAAACAGCTGATCTAGAATGGAGCGCCTATGAGAAGATACCAGTTCGTATTCTGAATCATTTTCAGGAGGAGCTTTTTTTCCTCATTAAACATGACATAGGGGAGCCCAGCATTTGGAATGCCCAGCATTCCCAATGTTGTAGAAAACCTGTATTACTTCAAGCAGATCAAGACCTTGTTCCTTTTCAGAAGCTAATTTAACCTCTGTGCGTTTACTGACACTGTTGCAATAGCTACTCCTGAAGCTATTTTCAAAAACCTCTGCAGTTATAGTAGCTAATATACTTTGTCCTGGACCAAGAAAGACTCCTAGAGGTAGAGGGTCTAGAAGTGTTTCTGGGATGCTAATATTCTTTATAGTAGGTATAAAATATACTTGTCACTGGTCTCATACACTGAGCATTTCCAGTGATGGTTCCCTAATCTGATTGAAATAGGGTACACCAATACTTAGAGAAGTCTCTTAGAGCTTGGAGGAGCTGCATCGGAAGGCTGACAGACTCTTTGTGTACATTTGAGCAGATCACATAGTTTCTCTGAGGCTCTGGTCTTTATTTTCTTTATATGTGTATAATAAATAGTGTGATACCTCACCCAAGTGTGATGGAGATGAGTACCCTGAAAGGTTATGACATCCTCTTACAGCGCATTAACAGGGGCAATGCAATGTCTGAAATAGACACCCACCCCCCCATGGCTGCTGTTCCCCAAGAGATGATTTCATGACATAAATTTGCCAAGAAATTACACACTCTGAAGAAGTAATCTAGTGAGATGCCTCTAATTTCTTTGTCCCATGCCATGTCTAATCCACAAATTAATTTATTAATTTAAATATGAAAGCAAATAATTCAGATTTGCTGAGCTTCCTTATTTTGTTCCTATATTCAGTGTTATCCTTGCTGCTCACATCATGCTTTCTGATGGGTTGCGAATTATTAATATGCAGTCCACTGAGAGAGGAAATGCATGCAGTTTTGAGTTCAGAAGAACCTTCTGACACTAAAGCAAAATGGGCTATTTGACATGCAGTGTCTTACTAGTGATCTGAAAATAGTGTGGCTAGCAGGACTAGGGAAGTGATGTGTCTTTGAACTTGACACTGGTGAGACCACACCTTGAATACTGTGTTCAGTTTTGGGCTCCTCAATACAAAAAAGACATTGAGGTGCTGGAGCATGTACAAAGAAGAGCAATGAACCTGGTGAAGAGTCTAAAGAACAAGTCTTTTTGAGGAGTAGCTGAGGCAACTGGGGTTGTTTAGCCTGGAGAAAAGGAGACTCATGGAAGTCTTTATTGCTCTCTACAGCTACCAGAAAGGAGGTGAGTGTCAGTCTCTTTTCCCAAGAAACAAGTGATAGGACAAGGGGAAACAGCCTCAAGTTGTGCCAGGGGAGGTTTAAAATAAATATTAGGAAAAATTCCTTCACTGAAAGGGTCATCAAGCACTAGAACAGGCTGCTCAGGGAAGTAGTTGAATCACCATCCCTAGAGGTACTAAAAAGACATGTAGATATGACACTTAGGGACGTGGTTTAGTGGGCTTGGAAGTGTTAGGTTTATGGTTAGACTTGATTTTACAGGTCTACCTAGATGATTCTATGTAACTGCCATTTTGTTAGTAGGTAAATACATGTGTTAAATGAGGGGCTGCTGCAAGTACTGAATTGTATCCCAGATTTTATAACTAAGAATTGTTCCATTCTAGTAAGCATGAATTTTTAACATATTTAAAGCTAAGTTTTTAGTGGTTTGCTTAATCAGGGTACTAGACTTATTTCTTACTAAAGAAGTTATCAGTGAAAGCAGCAAGATCAGAACTTATGCATAAAACCTTTGTCATTGAAAATGGCAGTGTGCTGAAGTAAAACGGTTTGTGGCAGCACACTGATCTCAGGGGCTTCTGTTGGAAGCTTTTTTGAGTTGTTTCTGGATAAGATGAGAAAAAGCAATCCCAGAATAGCCCTGTGATTGGGAAACACAATGGATTTTTGAGAGTTATGTTCAAGTCTTCTCTGAGTTACTCAAAACAGGCCAGGAAAGTAGAATCATTTTGTATTGTTGATGCCCATAGTTTCTTTGACTTTGTAACAAGAAAAGCTAATGGCAACATTCAAAACTGAAATACAGTAAATTACTACCTTTGCTGTTCATTGTTGTGTGTAATTGAAAGGACTTCAAATTGGATCTTGTATCCTGGCTGGTTTTCAGGACAGGGAATAATTCAGAACAACAGAAAAAAAAAATATGGTAAGCAAGTACATTTAACTCTTTTCTTCACCACTGAAATAAAACATGATTATTCAGAGCTTTTCTAAATTCTAGGGGAAAGCAAATCAGACTGCAGATATGAGACTTGAAATATGCAGCCCTTGAGAGCTAAAAATCAGAATGACTGTCTTAGAATTGCTTTTTTTCCTCTCAGTGTCAGGTAATTTTAAATTCTGAACTTGACATTTCACAAACTTGTCAGAATCTTCACTTGCCTACTAGAATTTGGCAGGTTAGGCTGCATTGTAAAGGTACAGGTGCCTTAAGGACATAGTGGAGTCTTTGCTGCAAACCTATTGTAAGACTATTTTAATTGCCCTGGGCAAGAATAACATTCACCTTAACTTCTATCAAGAACAAGTTAGGCACTATAGTGTTATACCTACCCATCTAATGGTGGTCCATCTGTGCCACTACCATATTCAGGACTCAGCCCATTTAATCCAGTGGTAAAGGCTCATGCTTTAGCACTGAAGGACCCTGTTGTTACACAAAACTAGTTTCTTAGCAATGGACAGTACACTGACCACAAAGATAGGACAGTTTCTTTTCTTAGTTACCCATCGTTCCACCTCCAGCCGGTATGAACACAGACCCACTGTTGCCACAGTCTCAACACTGTAGGTGCATTGTGTGCCAGGTCATATCCTCTCTCCATTTGCACACCCTGAGCAGCAAGCGAATGGAGTGAGAGCTGGGAGTGGGGAGCTCTCCTGCTTAAGTATATTGCTTGTGTCTTGAGTGTGGCTGCTAGAGGTCCAAAAGAGCAAAAGATCACCATCCAAAGCAGTAGTGCACAAAGCTGAGGAGTGGCAGATGAATGCCTGGGGAGAACAGCAAAGAAAATTGAACAGCATTAAATAGCAGAGACTGTTCTGATCAACTGTGCATTTGTCATTTCATGTTGTTGTGGCACTGTACATATGTGGGACTGAGTGAATACTATAGTAACATGAATAGTAAAATGTTACACCAATCTTCCAGCTGTTTCAGCTATATTGATACTTATTTTCATGGTTTTGTTTTGTAATTCATTACAAAGCACACCTAGCAACACTGTAATTAGCTAGCAATATGCAGTTTAAGATAGGGTTCTGGCATATCTGTTTATATTGGGTTGATGGAGGATTCAATCATGGGAAAACATTTTAGTAATGTTTTAATTAAAAGTGAGATAAAATATTTAACAATTTGATAATATATTGTAAAAATTTGGAATATATAATAAAGGAAAACTAAACAAAATTTCATCTTAAAAATGGTGATCTTGTCTCACATCTCAAAGTGAAATTACTGCCTTTCTTTGGTGAACTGTTTCACTTGGCATTTTCAGAGATGTTTGCAAGAAAGCCCCAGATTAAGCCTCATGCTCTACTGGTTTGCTGTCTGGGAAATGTTTTGGCCTGAGGCGCTGTACTCTGGGACTGCCTGGTGGCAGCCTGGCAAACTCAGCAGAGAGGGGATTGTTTGGGCTGTGTGTAAACCTGAAAATGTTCCCCTGCTTTGCAGTTTCCCTTTCAAAAAGGGGTGGGAATAGTTTCCATTTAGAAACTAGTGGAAGTGAAGACTGTGCAACTCTTATAATGGCTCTTCTGAAAACAGCCAGAAAAATTGCAGAGATTGAAGCAGTAAGAAGAAAAGAGAGTGGAAGGAACGCAGAGACCAGAGTGTTGGTGTCAGAATTGAGATGTACCTCTGAAGAGGCACTGATAATGGTGCAATCACACTTCTGAATGGCAGAAAGAAATCCAAAAGAAAGCTCAATGCTTGTTAGTGACAGGCCTCAGAAGTCAAGTATTAGTATTTTCCAACCACAGATGAATCTGTTAAAACAATTTCAGAACAGAAATCTAGAATAGACGTGAAAACCACAGAATGTGTTGTGCCAGTACCATCCTTTCTCACACAGTCAGTGTCCAGCTTTTCAAGCAGTCATTAGCCATCTGCAATCCATCTAGGACCTTATCTGAAAAGAGACAGCAGGAGAATTGATAAATACAGTTATGTTGTCTTGATGTTAAGATTATGCAGCAAGTTATGTGGCAAAGCAGTTGTGTTGCAGGTGAACTGCACTGAGCTGTATAATGTTCTAGTGACATGTGGATAAGGAAAAATTTGTTTAACTGACAATCAATACTACAAAAAATAATGGGATAGAAAAGTGCTGCTTTACTGGCAAGGGAAACCAGGGTATTATAAAACAGCCTATATTGTTAAAAATTAGTGGGAAGGATGAGAAAAAAAATACAGAGGAAGGCAGTGGCACGTGTTGGTGTATGGACATGTATCACACTGACTGTATCTATTTAGAACAAAACTTTCCACTGAGTGCTGGGAAGATACAAGTGAATTTGCAGAAGTATCCTTGTAATCATTGTCAGTGTTGAGGCTGCTTAACATAATGTCAAGAACCTGCAAAATCCCCAACCTCCAATTACTGGTGATGGAACAGCCAAATAACATGCTTGGAGACTTCTGCTGGGAACTCGGCACATTATTTTCAGGATTGTAAGTGATAACAAAGCACGACTTGAAAATAGACTCATCTGTGTAATTAGTAATCCAGAGATTTATTCAGAGTCAAAGAACATGATCAGTTAATTAAATTGGTTACTGTGAACTTGATACTCTCCAGAGGGGAGTATCAGGATTTGCTGTCACATGAAAAGTGCGGTTGGATGTGCTGATAGAGATGTCATGCTGCAGAGGGCACAAGAACAAAATATGTTTTATGAAGCAATTACCCCCTTCTTGTTGACTGACCTCCCTCATCCAAAATTCAGAAGGAGATGGTCTGCTAAATAAGAAGCACTTTCAAGGCAGAAGTTGCTCAACCCAGCCCACACATTTTGCCATTTTGACTTCTGACTCTTATGAAGCCCTACAAAGGAGCTCTGTGTTTCTGTTTACTATAAAGGAGAGTGCATCTCCTGCAGCCTAGCAAGAAAATAAAAAGGGAGAATTGGTGCTCCACCTCCATAGGAATGCAATGGCAATTGCATTAATATGTGAGAGACATAACAAATATAAAATTAATCTTTTTCAGTGTTTGGATATATCTATACAAGACTGCAAAGAGGCTTGATTCAGTTGTCAGAACATAGGTTTAGAGCCATTGTAGGTGAGATATAGTATGATACTTGGATCTGCTGGGGAGTGCAATGGCCAGGTGGGCTCAGAGTGGCAACTGGTAGGTCTGTACTGGAACTTACAGTTCAGCACTGGTGTCATCCTGAGTGATTGGGGCTGTTGCTTAGTCTTGAAACAGAAGTATGCCATGCATGACTGCCCTGAAAAAATTCCAGCCCCAGAGATACACAGACATTTGGTATTGTAATTATACATATTACTGTTCTCACCAAGTTTACCTTGTTATTTTTACAGTCCCTTAATTAGTCTGTCTGTTGCATTGTTTGACAGTGGTTTAAGTATTTAAGTAAAACTTAGAGAAGTAAATTAAAACTGATTGTAAAATATAAACAACCAGCTTTTCCTGGCCCATATACACACAATTTTGTCCGATATAAACCAGTATAAAAAAAGCATGCTATTCTGGCTTGGGAAGACAGTGAATCTCCCCAAGGTGCACTTGCCCATCTGGGTTCTGTAAGCAACAGGACTGCATCCCATTCATTATGTTAACACAAATCTTTTCAGTGATTCCTGTGCACCAATGCTTGAAGATCCTTTATAGCCCTTCCTTTAGGGCCCCAATTCTGAATGCTCTCTGTCTGTCTTTTCTATTTGCAGCTAACAGTATTTCTCAATATTCTTCCAACAAAGCAGTGTCTTTTCAAAAAAATGCTCCTTCTCATATTGAGATTTGACTATCTTCAACTTTTCATATTTCATTAACATATAAGAGGTTTTTTTAAATGAAAACTATAGAAAAAAGGCATTTGCCCAAAATCTTTGCTTTTCAATGAGTTTTTGTTCATATGAATATATATTGCTAATGATTAAAATATGGGATTTAAAAATAAGTAATAAATGAGAAATATTATGCAAAGAATGAAAAAGAGTATCTTCTTTAAACATAGCCTACTATCATTTTAAAATTTTCATGATTTTTTTCTCTTCATTCAGCAGCTTTACACTTTGACAATTTAGTATATTAAATTATTGATTTTTAGTGTAAGCTCCCTTTTTTAATGTCATAGGTGCTTTTACTTCAGTAGATAAGTGATATGATTTCAAAACTGTTCTTGTAATTTTGTTTGATATCATGGACTAACCTTTCATAAAAATATAAGCGTATAAGATAGCATTTCTATTGCTAATTACTAAATTGAGGAGCATTTGATTTGATGGCACTCCAATTCAGCTGAAATGTAACCGAGACCCTTACTCAACTGGGAAGTATTTTTGTTCTGAATATGTATTGACATGGTTAATGGTTAATTGGCAGACTGTATCCTTGGAGCAGAACGCCCTTAGTGCTGAGGCCACTCACGTTGTAGAGTGCTTCAATTATTTATGCTTTGCTGAAAATGTCTTTGCACTGAAAATATTAACAGTTGATTTAAGGCTGAAACCTTTTAATTCATGCATTAGATGCTTTGCATTTAGGTGGCAAGAAGTTTTCTGTGGGGCATATGTGAGTTCCCTAGGTAGGAAACAGTTTTGTTCTAACTCCAGCTCGGTTTTGTGGGGCAGATCCCATCTGTTTCCTGTCTGGCCTCATGTCTCTGTTACCTGTATTGATTTTAAGTGCTTTGAGGGAGAGCGTGCTGGTTGCTGCGTGCGCACAGGGCACCGGGTACCACAAACCCCACCCATCCTTGGCTGGAATCTGTGGCAAGCAGCTGCAGCACAGGAGCCAGCTTTAGTTCTAATGCAGAGTGTTGCCTTGGTTTTCAGCAATGCCCCTACCTCTGGTCATTCAAGCAAGTGAAGCTCCTCACCGTCTCTTGACTTCTGCAGCCTCAGATGATCAGTGGAGCCACTCACTGTTTGCTTTGATACCCTCATGGACAAGGAAAATTTTGTTCAAACGAGAGTCTTCTGTTAACCACCAGCTGGTCAGTAAAAGATGGTTTTCCACTTTTAATATTTGTAAGGATTATACCAGTTACATCAAAAGTGAACGTTGCTGGGAATTTACTACCCAATTAGTACATTTCTAATTCCATCTCAGGTAATTATGTTCACTTGAGATGGCTTCAGCAACTAGTTGTAAGACTTCCAAAGAGTTATTGTGACAGATACAGCTATGTGATTGCTGATTCTGATAGACACTTGGTAATTAAATGGATCCGCATAGTCTGATGAACTTTGTGCATAAAAACTATGCATTTTGTTAGGGAATTCTGATAACCAAAAGATGAGTAGTGTATCAATTAAGATACTAGTAATTACTTGTGGGAATAAGTAGTTCATACAAATTTGGACTAGAAAAAAAGATAAACTGATGGGATAACAAAGCTGTTAGGTTTGAAGATGATGAATACCTCTAAAATTTTTCTCTCATTTCCTTATTTACATAATTTAACTTGTGCTGCAGTTTATGAATTATCATATTTTCATACACTATGTAGACTTTTCCCTTTTCTCCACAGCCTGAAGATGTGTCCAATATGTCAGTGTCTTCTGAATTTGGAATAACCCTTCAGAAATGTGGTGTGGTAAGTTTTCTTACATTTGTCTTGCTAATTTAATAGGAAGTTTCTACCCAAGTAGGAAGTTTGTCCTTTAAAAAGTGGGAGCAGAATTGTGCCCATACTGAGTATTTGGGAGAATGTCCTTTTTGATGTTAAGAAGGTCTCACCTTCTGTAAGAGGCGTAGTTTTGCAGTGTTGTTTCAAAACTGAAGTCAGTGGAATCTTCTCAAACTTCAGGGGATTTTGGTTCATGGTCAAAATAAATAACTCAGTGTGATTTTGTAGAACGATAAATGGACAAAGCCCAGTGAACTCTAGAAATCAGCCACAAGGCTGGGCAGAGAGAGAGACAAACTTCTATAGAGAATAAGATCAGCCTTCTGAGCTACATTCCTGCAAAACCATGGGTGCCCTACCTGTCAAGTATGGACTCCTTTCAAAGGATGGGGCACAGAGCTCCGTGATGCCTGTTGTGTCTGTGGCCATTCTATCACACAGCCATATTAATTAGAAAAGCCAGTGTGTCATAGTCTGCATATTCAGTGGGACTCAGTTACAGCATAGTATTCTATGAAAAAAAGGTCTCATTTGACTCATGCTTATGAGGAGCAAAACCCTCCCTACTCTAAGGAAATTTTAAACCTTCCATTCTATTTTTACTTCATGTGGCATAGGTTGATAGATTTACCTAGACTGTTATTTTTCTGTTCCTTTTTTTGGGTTTTGTTTGTTGTTTGGTTTTTTTTTTTTTTACACTGGATGAAGCAAGACTTAATTTTTAGAATTGGAGGAAGATCATCTTACCTGTCTCTTGGAGAGAGAAAATGCATCCAGTGCATCCAACAGTAAGACAAATCTGAATTCAGCCACTGTAATGCTGCATGAGGGTAGAAGGTTCAATAACTAGTACAGAGCAGGTGACATTATAACCTGCACTGGATAATTTGCATAGAGAAGAATGAATATGCATCACATCTTATGGTACTAATTACCTATAATGTTGTTATTGAAATGGGAGCATATCATGATTAATGAGGCTGAATAGTGAGCTTTTCAGACATGGGAAGCAGAATCACAGAACCTTCTGCTTTTCTGGCTGTAGATTCCCAATTTTTGTATCAGAGCCTCTCTGAAACAGAGTTTAAGACAGTTACATGTTTTTTTTTCTGCTATTCATAGAACAGCCTCACATAGACTCAATTAAAAATTGTGAAACCCTTCTGTACAAGGTCAAAGTTAATCTGTTGTAGGTGCAGGGATTATCAGAAAATAATTTTGCAGTGCTATTAATTGTAAATTACCAAAAACTATGCAGTTGTATGTGATTGTCTTCTACCTCCAGGTGCAGTTAATTTTACTTTCCTTTGCTTACCTTGTCATCTACTTCAATCCTAATTCATCTGAACAGATGTTTTCCTGCTAAGAGACAGACTTGGCCATATGGTGGTCTTTAGCTGTTTTAAATGGAAAACAAATGAATTTTGCACATTTTCCTCCTCCTACCATGAGTAGCTCCTCAGAGCATGGAAATGACATATGTTTACTACTTTGAGTCAGGATTTTTACAACACCTTAGCTCAGAAATACCCTTATTGAAACTGGGGTGTTTAAATTTTACCTGTGCTTACAGCACCCACGTAATTCTTTCTTTCCAGAAATGTGCTCTTTTAAAACCTTCATTCTATAGTATGACTTGAACTTTTCTGTAATTGTACTATGTAATGACAATAATCTTTAGCAGAGCTGTAGTAAATCTTTAAATTTGACTGTCTGACTTTTAACACATTTACCTGTCTTGTTTCTCGTCTGCTAAGCTTTCTTGCATTGCAGATCATCTATAATTCTGTGATCTTCCTTTACTGTTTCTATTTGTTCTAATTTATTCCCAAAGATCCTCCATTCCATTCACTTCCATGGAAATTCCCTCCTCCTCTCTTTTCTCCTAGTATGTCCTTGCTCTTGCTGTGGTTCTTTTCACTCCACTCTCCCAGGTACCCAAAGTGACATCAGTTGCAGAGGCTAATGATACATATGGTGTGCTTCAGCAGCATAGGAAAAATGGAGTATGCACTTATGCATCATCAGTGGCTACCATTGGCTTCAATTCCTGTAGATGGGTGGCAGCATAATCGCCCGCTCCAAAAACAAGAGGAAACATCTTCAGGCAAATTAGAGGAGCAGCTTAAAGGAGATATCCAGTGGCTACTGATCCCAATGGCAGTGGTGTATGGAGGAGGTTCTTTCTATGAGAGATCAAACCCAAGAGCTTCCCTACTGCTTGATTCTCATCTGCTGCTTTCTCCAGTGCTATCAGGAAAAGAATCCAAATTCTTTCAAATCCTTTTGAATTTAGCTTTAAATTGGCTGCCAGTCAAAAAGAACAAATGCAAACCATGTATTTAATATTAATCAGAAATGAAAAAAATGTGGCCTTTTGGCCACCTGAAGAAGATTGGGGTAGGATATAGGCAGTACAGTTGGGATACCTCTGAAGGGTTGCTTTGTTTAGTCACTTAATTAAGAATTTTAATAAACAAAATTAAGAGAAAATGCAAAATTAGTTTGAGAAAGAGAATGAACAGTGTGTGGGACTGTGCATTAAATCTCCTGCCTAGGGGAAGGAGAGGACTAATGCTGCCATATTCCTGCACCTGCCTGTGAATATGCACATGCTACTTTCTCTGCCTATTTTATTGTAGGAATTTATCAAAATTACTGTGTATATCCCCTCTCCCCAAATGTAAATGAATATATTTTTGCCTGCTTAGAAGCACAGGAACAGACCTGAAATCCTCATTTTTTGCCTTGAATAGCAAGGGAAAGGTATGGGAAAATGAATGGAGGAAAATTTTTTTTCTATTTCTCCGTATCCCCAGCTCCCTCTTTTGATATTGCATGCATTTGTCTGCACAAGCCCATCCACGCTTACTGTGGAGCATAATACAGTATTAACAACTCATGCAGTTTGAACCTTGCGTCTTTCAAGGTGTATTTTCTTGCTTTGGTGATTGTGTCAGGGTCTCTGCTCTGTGGCTTTGTATTTTCTTTATGTGGCTTTGAGGCTTTTTTTCCTGTTTCATTTTGTTTGTGCTTTTAAAATAAAGTTTCTAGCCTTGGTGACTCCACAGGAAAGATTGAAAGGCATGCTGCCCGCGTCAGGCCAGTTCAGAAATGGGGAGAGAAAATCTCCCCCAAATGTATCACATTTTTAATACTTTGTGATTTTAAGTCTCATGACTATTGGAGTATAGTTCATGATATACAAACACATGAAATTGGTAATGCTTTCCTCACAAATATGATTAAGACTGTTGTTATACATGCTGACAATTATTTGCAGAATCTAGTACAATGAATAGTTGGGTTTTTTCCTTCACAAGCTTTTTTTAACACAATTAAGGTTGAACTTGCTGTAATGAGCTTGGAAAATTTGGTGTGGTATACCAAGGAGAATTATATAAACAGATTTATTCAAATGTACTTTAATTATTGCCACTTAAATAGAAAAATGCAAGCTAAGCAATAATAATTTCAATAAACATTTTTGTTCCTTGATTCATAAAATATTCTAAAACTTTAATCTGTATCTATACTGAATTAGTATGAAATGCAGAGATCAGTGGTGCACAATGAAATCATAACTACATATATCGAATCTTGTGGCTGCCATGAACTCTGGTGTGATTTCTAAAGTCTACCACAATTCATATTTTTAGAACTCATTTCTGTTGGGGCTGCTTATTGTTTATATTTGCCTGTGTCCAGATACTGTCCAGATACAGAGTAAACATTTCCTAAAAATGAGGAAGAAAAAAGAGAAAAGCTCATCCTGAATCATACTACAGTCAGTTAAATAAATGTTAATTGGTGTCATTATTAGAAACCTGATACACCATCATGGCTATACTATAGGCCAGCATATTATAAATCCAATAAAGTTTTAGACAGTTCTGGTTTAATATGAGTTATAGGGGAAGGTAATTTGAAAGGTGAGAGGTCAGTAAGCAATTCTGTGCTCAAAATAATTTAATTTAGAGGGTATAATTACCTAATAAGAGTTAATGGCCTAATGGAATAAGTAAATAAAATCACGTAAGTGTGTATTGCTAGAGACTGATGATTAGCTTATGTGTTTCACCACTAACTGGAAGCAGAGCCATGAACTCCAAGTTCACTGGTGGCTCCATCAGCCCTCCCATGGGAAGGGTGAATTGAGGCAGCCAAAACCCTTCGGAGAATATGGTTGCTGTGAAAAAAAAGGGAAATAGAGACCAAAACTGCATGGAGAGAATGAATTTGCAGCAAGGGCAGCTTGCAAAAGAAAGATCCTTGTTGTACAGAAGTTCAAAGTTAAGAATTTTCCGGACTCTGTTTATAAAAAGTTATGATCCAGTTCTGTGTTACATGAAGTATCAAGGGGATATTTAGATTCTTGTTCTCACTTCTGGCTCTGCATGAGCTGGGTTTCCTACATCAACTTTCTGTCCCTTTGTGTCCAAGCAACACTTTGACATACCAAAGATTAAAATCTCCTTTGGAGTTTGAGATCAAACTGAGTGTAGCACCATTTGCAGGTATGCAAATATGCATCACTGCCTTCAGAAAATAAGTTTACCCATAAAATAAACTTTTATTAGTAATCAAGACTAATTTTGCTGTTAAGATTCACATACAGCCATTTTGCACCATTAATACTAATATTTCTGTTTTCAGGTGGATGTTGAACATGACCCTCAAACTGCATACATTACACTTCTGATTAATAACACCAACATGCTGCTCTCACCAAACATTACAGATCTTATGGTGCTGGACAATATCACTGGTCTACATGTTCAAAAAAACAGTGGTAATAAGACCACCAATGGCATACAGATTTACAGGAAAAGATTCTTGCAAGGTAACAAAATCTGTGGGGAAATACCCCTGATTACACCTGTGGAAGAGCATCAGTTCAGATCATGATGCTTATTTATTTATTTTTGTAGTATGAATTCTCCAATTATCAGTTAATACAGGTAAACAACTGTGGGAAAGGTTTTGTGCTGCAGTTTACAATTGTATTAACTCCTATTTTGACTCCCACCTTTGAACTGCTTCTGATCTCCCAGGCACAGAAGTAAGCCCCTTCAGTTCATTTTGGATAGTTTTAAAAGCTGCTGCAGAAGCCATTTTAATCGTATCTGATGAGTCTTCCTTTAGCCAAGCGTGTCAGATTGGCTTGCTGAGGTATTGAGGTGCACTGGAATTGCAAAAAGCCGTGCAAGCAGGCAATAATGATTCATCAGAAATAAGGCAGCTCTTCTCAGTATCTGTTCTCCCCAAACTGAACAAATTATAAAATCAAAGCAAGTAAGAGAGAAACCTGTTCTACTCCTGGAGTCAGTCTTTTCCTTTGGTCACAGTTGGATCATTGCACATTCATAAAATTTAACCTTTCTTGATTTCTTCATCTCCTTTTCCCTAAGTCCAAGCATACAGAAAATTACTGGCTTGCTTTTGAGAGCCATGCTATTTCTCTTGGAGCTTCAGAAGTGTTCAGTGATACCTGTTTATGGTTGAAATATCTAGGGTTATGATAATGTTTTACTAGTGAGAGATTTCCAAATAGGAAAGGGAAATAAGTAGGGCTGCTGGGGCTGCTGTCTGATTGCAAATGGATAGTCAGACTCCATTTCTAATAACAGCAGTGTAAGTAGTGGTACTGATTATAGGGCTGTTCTTTTTTGAAAGCGTCAGGTAATTGCTGGCTCTCAACAGAGGTTCCTAAGAAAGAATGATCCAAGAAAAAATGGAAAAATGGCTTGCAGAGCTGATCGAGTAACCAAGTTGGAGCAGTTACCTAATTATTTATAATTACTGAATCTGGAATTGAAGCTATCTTTTCCAGACCATATATGTTGCATGAATCAGCATGAAGAATACTGAAGTGGAGGAAAATCTGGCAGAACAGATTTCTGCATAGTTTAAGATTTCATCATTATTATGTCAGTCTTGGAGTGAGCCACTAGGTCTGGACAGAAAGGCTATGCCTACACAGACCTTTGTACTGTCAAGCTGCATGTTAGCTGTAATAATTCTTCAGTGCTCCAATGCACTGTGGATCAAAATTCAGCTGAAATCTTAGTCGATTTGTCTTTGGTTTCATTAGGAAGAGAATCAACCAGTTAGTGGTTATAATGTAGGCTGTCCACTTTATAAAATAAAGTATTTATAAATATGTCATGTTGAGTTTTAGTATGAGTCAAAACATGATGCTTTTCAGTAGCTTGAGGCATCATTTAGCCCAGTTTCCAGATCCTGAGCCGAATTTGCTTGAATTCTTAGGGCAGCAGATACAAAGGATGTTGCTGGGCTTATGTGGCCAGGAACTGTTTATTCTGGATGTGGGGCATCTGCTGTGTCAGAAGGGAAAAGCTCAAGGTCTGTCACAAGACTTCCCCAGGAATTTTTGAGAAATTTTCCTGGGACAGAGAAAATCTATTGAAGTCAGTGTGGTGAGTTTTATTGCAGCTTGGTTCTTGCTATGGAGGCTCTCAAATAAACAAGCAACCTCCAAAAATTCAAAATTTATTATTAACACAATTAACTAGCCCTTCACAAACTGCAGGTTCAGATGTCTGAGAGGAGAACAGAACAGCTTCCTAGGGTTTAACAACAACCCAAAACACATAACCAAGAGCTCTGTAGGGTTTAATGACAACCCAGAACACTCTATCACTCACCTAACAAGTGAGGGTTCTCAACCTCGAGGACCTGCTCAGGGCAGTGTCTTGACCCAAATCACCTCAAGGAGTTTCCTTGGGCTACATCCCAACCCAAGGGGAGAGTTCTCAGCTGCAGTATGCTACTCCAGGGGACGAGCTTCCACTGATCCCCAGGCCCAACCTGACCTGCAGTCAGTAGTTGCTCCCTTTGGCCAAAGGCCCCAGTTACCACAGAGCCCTGAGCACAAAGGCAGCCAGGAGCTGCCACACCTCAGCAGCCAAGCAGCTCTGCTTTCACTGGGCGGCTGCACCTGCCGCAGTTCCTAGGAGAGCACTTTTGCTGGTGAGGAAGCACAGTCTAAAGAGGAACCTAAAAAGCCTCTCAAATGTTTTCCTCATACTGAAATTGCTTTTCAGATTTTACAAATGTCTGTAACTGCAGCTGAGCTCAGCTGGGTACTCAACTCTTCAGAGATGCTCACCCAGTCTGCTTGTGCAAAAAAAAATGTGCAGTTGTACTGGGTTGTTTGCAAGTCAGTGTAGATACTCTTGTGTTCAAGGAAATGCAAATACAGTTACTTAAAGACCGTTGTTGCACTGACAGATGTACCTCACCTGCTTCATTTACACAATTGGGGTTTTCTCTCTTTTTTAACAGGTGGAGAACACTTTGCAATCAACTACTCAGCACTTCTTGATGCAAAAGAAATGTGGGATGGCAGGGTCTTGATGCTGCCAGTGAAGCTGACTTTCAGGAGTTTATCACAGGTATCTCCTTTAAAATTTTATTTTGCTCTTCACAATTTTTGTAAAAAAACCCAAGTGTCCAGAGGGGTTCTTATCTGCCTCAGCATTGAGTCCTATGTGTAATGAAATGAAGTTCTTAGGCTCTCTGAATCAGTTTACTATGAATTTATAATTACATGGGCTATCCTTCATAGCTTAGGAAGTCGTAGACCTCCTTAAATAGGTGAAATATCTTTGTGTGTTGTTCTGTAGCTTTTCATTCTACATTTTGTATTTCTCTCGAGTTTATCTGTGTATCCAGGAGGAAATAATGATGTTTCACATACTTAATATATATATTCCTGTAGTCTGTGAGAGATTGAAAATTTTAAAATATATTTATCACAAAAAAAAAAACCCAACAACACAAGTTGCAGCAAAGGAAACCCCCCTTGTTTATAAGGAAGACACTTTTTTAGTATGAGAGTTGTGAAGCTCTAAAAGAGATTTTTCAGAGAAGCTGAGGAATCTTCATCCTTACTGATTTTTGAGAACTCGGTTGCACCAGGCTTTGAGAAAACTGGTCTAACACTGGGGTTGTTAGACAGGGTTTCAGCAGGAGGCAGGACAAGTGTTTTTTTCCAAAGTAAAATCTTCCAATTCTTAAACATGGCTTGATATTTTTTTCTGTGGTTTTCATAATTGCATGAAATTAGAACCCGCGGATGTATTTTCATTTCAGCTGTTGTTTCTCTTTTGTTTAGAGGAAAAAATGTTTAACGTGCACAAGAGTGATACTAGATTGGTAGAGAGCAGGAGTTCAAAAAACAGGGATGTATAGACATACAGATGTATGCACTGACTGTGGCTCCTGTTTTGTGTGTTTTCAGTTATCCCAGATTTTATAGGCACAGAAAAACGTAATTCTGTGAGCACCACAATATGCCTCTGTGTCATTAGAAGGGGAGTGTATTGCATAGAGCAGCTGCTTCCATGTCTGTTAGTATTACCCCGAAGTACAGATCCTATCAGATTTATTTCAGCTTCAAGCTTGTTGAGAAGTACAGCTTACCTTCAAAGGAGAGGCTTTTCTAGAGACTGGGCTGCTTACCAGTGGATTCTGCTCAGGTTTTTTTAATACATGTAATATTTTTGTATCTCTCAGAATAAGACACATCTTGTATCATTGACAGCATCATTCACCATAACTGAAGAAGAAAAGACCAAGGTAAGTTCTATGATTTCGTATTAGGTTGACTCTCCTGCTTAAACTTATGGACAATCTAAACTAAATCCTAGGAGCTAAAGACGTACTTACATACTTGTATCTCATCACTCAGTTATTGGCTATTAATCATACACAAGTTCTGCCTTTTCAGTTTTTAAGAGAAAGAAAACAGGAGTTAAAATAGTCTTAAAGCAACAATATTTAGTATGGAAAATCTACAAACTCCCGTTATGTTCCTAGCCATGGTTTTTTCATTTGAAGAATTGTCCAGGCACAGAGAACTGTGATGAAGAATATACTCACCTGCTCCTTTTGACCATGAGAAAGTGTTTTGCCTTTCCAAAAGGGTGGAGTTATCTTCCACCTGTTGAGAAAAGGTTTTTGTATCGAGCTGATATACAAATCAGAAAATAGCTGTGTGGGGAGCCTGAGAAATAAAACTACAGTAACAGAGGCATAGTTTATGTTTGCCTTTTGTTTTTCCACTAGTCATCCTTCCAATATCTGTTCCTGGCTTCTGAATCAACATGGTTTCTAAGAGGCCAAATAAACCTGCAAAATTACATTGATTGCAGCAAAGTGTTATTCTTCTAGGTAATTTTTTATCAGAGAACTCCCCACTGCATCCATCACGTTCATTGCACCAAACTTGTTTTTCTCCCCTAACTCCTCATTACTTTGGCAGGCTGCTGTTGTTGCCTTTTTTTAAGGAGCAGGGGCTTGGTTGACAAGAACGCTGTGATTATTTGTGTTCAGACAACAGAAAATAGCTTTTTCACCCCAGAACATTTTTGCTGTGGTTATATCATTTGAAATCTGAAGTTTGTGTGGATGGGGCTTGACTGAAGAGGCCCTGAGGGCTAGACCTCCCATTCCTTCCATGGGTCTATCCCATGAATTCCTCTCCACCTTTAAAATCAGTCTATTTGGATATTGGGTATAGGGGCCTCTAGGTCCAGTATTTTCTTTGATGGGGATCTCTTGCCCTCTGAGCTTCTATTAGTGTAATAGATGTAAGTCCAGACTTGCCTTTCTCATAATTGAAGATCATGCCCATTCTGTTAAAATGAAAGCCAGAATTAAACATGATATAAAGTAAAACTATACATGAGCTAGAGAACTCATTGTTCCTGGAGAAAGATCTAGTATAATTTAAAAGGACGGAACATTTGTATAGCTAAGAATTATGTTTGGGATTGTCCTAAATGTATTTTTTGGAAACTCTTGTTCTTAAAGGTGTAAGCCATGCAGTAGCTGACTGGGTTAGAAAAATAGCTTCATGAATGGTTTTCTGTAGAGTTCAGTATGAATTGATCCACAGTAGTTGGTGATGTCTAAGCTAAGACTGTAAGCTACATTGGTCTCAGTGCACTGTGAAAATTCCTGCAATCTATTACTATAGTGATAGTACACCTTTATAGTGTGGTTTTTTTCCAGCTTGAACTTGATAGTTAGACCTCAACAAGTTCTTGGGGACTATGCCACAGTTAGGTAAAATTGACTCAGCTGTGTTTGAACTTACTAAATGAACAGGTTTTGTAATTAAAATGTGTGGTAAAGGTGTGTGGAGAATACTGTTAATATTTCAGAAATAAAGCTTGGAAATTATGGAACACATCATGTTTCACATGCAAAATATTTGCCTTTGGGCTGTGGCCAAGCATAAAGTGTTTCAGAATGAAATCAGTTTGTGCAAGGAAATTATGATCTGCTGAAAAAGGTGTGATGTATTGTATTTCATCCATATCTTCAGCTGTCATGAATGCTCTCAATCTCAGATTTTATTTATTAAAATCTGTTCATTTATTTAAACCTGTTCATGGATGTGGTAAAGCAAACACATGTGCGACTAAATGGATACTAAATGTTGACTTTGAGGACAGAGAAGAGAAGGCTTAATTATGTAGTCATGGCAGTGCTGTGCTAAGTTGATCCTGTCAGCTTTCTTGCTTGCACACTTTTGGTTTGCTTGCACACTTGGCTACTGTTCTAAAGTTTCGCAAACCCTGTGGATTTTCTCTTCTGTACCTCTGGAAGAAAGTGCTTGGTTGTCTGTGACAAGATAATTTTGTGGGTTATGAAAAAATATGAATGCTGCTCATCTGAGTGTCCATGCCAGATGTCTTCCCACACCGCTTCAGGGGCTGTGAGTACTGTGTGCCTCTGCCCTCGGCTGAGTGGTTTTGATGCTGAATGGGAAGCTGTAGTGAAAAAGACAAAAGGAAGTTCTCCCATCCAAGCACATTGCATGAGATGGATGATAATAATTACTTTGATCTGATTTTTACCAGACTTGCTTCCCTCAGTATCCTTCAAATCAGTGGGAGTGCAGCAGTTTTTGAAAGAAACTTGGGCTTGTAATGCCTCTTTGTGCTATTGGAATGGCTTAACAAGTTAGCTTAGGATATCGGGTTTGAGGCTTACCGGTGTGTCAGGGGTTTGAAGGTTGGCTTGCTATGCCAGCGCTGGTCCTACACCATGGCTTGTGCACCTGCCCAGCACCATCTGCTGTGATGCTTTCAAATGCCATTAGGTACCTGCTGTGTCTTTCTGCTTTGGTTTACAGCCCCCCAATGACATGGACAGTGCTTCCAGAACCCGTATTTCTTTAAGTATAAAAACACAGATAATTCCCTGTCCATTTTTCTCCATCAGAGCTTAACCTTTGACAGAACTGCCTGACCTGATGCAGACTGACTGTCCTGCATAGATCTTGCCTTTTACTTTACTTAGAAAGCACAGGTTCATTCCCTAGACAGTGCTTTTACTCCATCAAAATTTAACCAGCTTCATTTCAGCTCCACTGAACCCATAGCATCGCTAGATTCCTGCTTTCTCCAGAGGTCTAGAGAGATCCCTAAATTTCACAGAGTGCTTGGAAATTAGACAAATGCAAGTGAATTCGGACAAAATGATGAAGTGGGTCCAAAGCAGCATTTTTTTCCCAAAGTATTATCTACAGTATCTCCTGTTCCTTGAAAGTGGTGGGACCTCAGGCAGAGCCTTGGTGTGGCTGAGCTCAAGGAAACTCTTCTGTGATCCCCCGCCTTGGCCACACAGTGCAAGCAGAGAAGCTGGAGACAGCAGACTGATTTAGAGTAATTGCATTTTTTCCAAGTCATGCACGGATGTTTGTTGGCTCAGCGACTGTTAAAGGGGTATGAGCTAAACCCTTTTGATCTGTGAAGGGAGTAAACACGGGGTTAGGAAAGGGAATTACTTAATATTTGCATAATCATCTTCCATATACATTTAAAAATGAAGATACTTTGATGCGAAGTGATGCAGTTTTAACTGATCTCATAGAAAGGAACTGAAGGGCAGCGCAGAGTCAGAAAGTGAGTTGGTACTGATACTGATGTAGATGTGCTGGGTGTCCTTAGTGGTTGGCCATGGTACAGGGGAGCATGATGGAAACAACTGGCCAGACTAGTCAGAAGCTACATCAAGAAAAAACATTCAGGCAATTACACGTGGAACCAGGAAATTAATGTGTTGCTCCTCTTTTTCTTTTCTTTCTTGTTTCTGTTTAAAATTTAATGGTATTGAAAGGTATTAGAAAGAATTTATGGTTGGCTTACTCACATAAATACTTAATCCCAAAACATTTTAGTGAACCTCAAAGTACTTCAAGGGTTTTCGTATTTTAGAATAAGCACATAAAAAACCAAAATGAAACCAAAAAGCAAATCAATCATACCTCTGTCAGTCAGAGAAATTGTTGATCCTACATGTACAGTACTGTGAAGAAAACCTTGGATCCGCTTCTTGGAGCTGTGCCAAATAGTAGACTGTATTAACATCTTGATGATCTCCTCGATACTGACTTCATTGCCTAATTCAACTGAAATCATGTTGAAATCGATGAGTACTGAGCATCTCCAGCAGCTTTGAGGAGCTGAACCTGTGAAACAACTAAGTAGTTCCTTTCAGTTAGAGATATGACAGATTTTCCATGTATGAAAACATAATGGAGAGAGAAAAACTGAGCAGTTAAAGGATAAAATTCTGCAGTTAAATTGGAATAAATCCTTTTCAATTGTGGACCATGTTTGATTATCACTTTCTGTGCTGAATTACCATTGACTGCATGGAATATTCTCAGGTTTCTGCTCTAAGAGATGACCAAGCCCAGTTTACAAGCAACATGTTAATTATTTACACTTTTTAGCCCCAGCAGAGTGATTAGTTTGTGGTGAAACATTATACTAATAGCTGTGCTGTTTTTCATCCAAAGATCTCAAAGAACTAAGCAAATACTGAATTAACTTTTGCTACATGGAGCATGAAGTAAAAATTAATTTTTAATGCAATTCAATTTAAAGATTAAATTAAGAACTAAAGTGAAAGGCCTACAAAGTTTGTTAGCTGGCTCACAGTTCCAGTGCTCCTGCTCTTCTTTTCTGTCTCTGGCTCAGGCAGAAATTGCAAGGGTGCAGCATTGGGTGGTCTTGTCAACTGTTAGTTATGGATTTATTCTGAGCTCCTATTGGTGCTTTGTCCCTATGGTGATTACTCAGTTTGACCGAACTGTGAAATGGCCATTAATTAAAGGTAGCTAACATTAGACTGATTTTTCAGACCCTCCAAGCAACATCAAATGCCATCAATTTGAATGAAACTTAGGAGAGTTTGGCAATACTGGAAAACAGACTATTAAGTACAGGACACACGGGTCACAGCACCTAAAATTCAGTCTGCAGGAGTTCTGTTGCTTGGAGTTACACAGGAGTTTGAACTAGATGAACATAATGAACCATGCTGATTTGACAACCTATGGAAAAGAGACACTTGTTTGATAATACTAATAAAATGCTGAGAAACCCTGAAGTTGTGTGAAGCCATTTAAAAACAATTTACTGTGTTGCTTGCAGTTACAGTCTTTAAGTCTGATCTTTATGTATATTTAAAATGTAGTTTTAATAATATGATATTTTAATTTCAGGTTTCGTACAGCCATGCTATTCATGCTTCAGGGTTCTTCATTGCTTTTTTTGTTTCCCTTGTACTGACATGTGCTGGTTTTTTCATTGTTTACCGAACCCAAATACTAAAATGGAGTTTCCATAGTAAAAAACAGGTGAGTCATACTGTCTGTAATAGTACTTAGTTAAATTTTTTCATTGATCATATCTGATGATGTAACTTGCTAACTAATACAGAATGCTTAGAGAGTTCTTGAGGGTAAATAAAAAGCCACCAAGTGATGGTTTGAATTTGCTAGTAATGTAATCTCGACAATTTCTAATCTTTAGCACAATCAGATTTAGAGGGAGCATAAGAATGATAATCTGGCCAAAAAACCTGCTGTCAGCACCTGGGTGTTAGCTTTGAACTGGAGGGAGATTACCCCTTGGCTGTTAATTTCTTTTCATATTCCTTCTTACCTTCTCTCCTCTTTATCTCTCAGAATGAGAGGCAGGATGTCTGTGGGTTATAAACAGTTGCCCAAGGAGCAGACCACTTACCTTGAGCACAGCAGACTTGCATCCAAATGGTATTTCTGATTACCAGGAATAGGGTTTTGAATTTAGGTGTCTTGGTTCCTTGGATGTGCATTAATCTTTTGAGTGATTAAGCAAAACATTTGGTTTGGGGGATGGAGCATTTTCAGTGTTCGTTATCCAAGCTGTGCCAGTTTGCAGAAAGTATTTCAGTACATACTGGGATGGAGGGAGAAAATACAGTGTCTGATAAATATTCATCAAGTTGGACCAAGTTCCAGCCCTTGTTTCTATTAATTATTTATGTATTTATATAAAGTGGAGCAACTTCAGTGGGAGGGAGCTATTCAATCAGAGTATTACAATGATTGGAGCAGTCCTCCAAGAGAGGTGTACTCAGAGGTTTGAACCCCTCCTCTGCTTGGACTGTGGTGGATCTCCCATCCTTCTGGACTGACCAGAGAAGCTTACAAAGCATTTGCAGCAGTATTTTCTGCAGTTGACAATTAATCCATCAACAATTTTTTATTTATTTTAGGTCTCAAAAAATAATTCCTTTAAATGAGTGTGCCTTGTTTCTTTTTACAGAAAAAGCTGTGATAATGAAATTGTAAAGAAGAGCCAGTTTGCTCCTAGCATCAGATATTTATAGTGGGTTTTTGGTGTAGTATTTTTACCAGCCCTCAGTCTCAAGAGAGTCTCACTCTACTGCAAACTACCTGAATCACTTCCATCATTCATAGGATTAGTTTTTCAAGTTGTTTTCATTTTATTTTTGAATAAATGAAATAAATAACATTTCATTTATTCAAGTTATCATTTCATAATACTGTAATCTTGCTGTATATAATTTGTATACCACAGCAATTTTTAAACAACTGGCCCAGAAAGTTTGTAGTGGAAGATAACCTCCAAGAAGGCTTTCACAAGCCTACCAAAGTCAATGTAGAGACTCCTGTCTTCTTCATTCATTTATTTATTTGTATTCCAGATCATTTATATATGAAAAGTTCATCCTGAAATGAAAGTAGTATATTTTTCAGATACGTATCTGAATTGCACAATCTCTTTATACCCTTTCCAGCTGTGATAAGTAGGAACCATCTCATCCAGTGTTAACTGCAATAAAATTAGATCAGACTCTCAGTGTGAATTTTTTTTCACAATCTGAAGTTTACTTGCTTTTTTGGTTTTTTTTCAGGAGATATGTCAGGAACTGAGCCAAAATCATAAACTGGAGCACTCTCAGTTTAATTCAGGTGATCTCTTTAGCGAAGACATAATTATGAACGACCAAATCATCGATATTCTGTCCTTTGAAGAATCTGGTAACATGCTCCAGGCTTTAGAAGAGTAAGAATTCACTGTTATTACATCATATTTACTACACTTCAACCAAACCTGTGAATATGTTTTGAGTATCTGCCCTTCAAGTGAGCTATATTAAAGAGCTGTATGTGGGAACTGAAAATTGTTGTATTTCATATTGCTTCACCTATAGAAGTCACAGCTCCATCTAGGCCTTTGGCATGCAAGTTTTCCAATCCAAGTGAACATCTGGTTTTGCCTCTTTGTGTTCACTAAGGGAAACTGTTCTGTGTACAAGAAAATGTTGAAAGGGTGTATTCTACTATTGCTATTCTACATTCTGCTTTCAAAAAGGTGGCTTTTGTCCTAGAAAAGAGAGCCCCTGCTGGGTGCCAGCATTCCTGTTTAGCAGCATATTTTGGAAACAGCTGGGTCAGAGTCTAAGGAGTGACAGAAGGCAGTGCTGCTGGAAAGATACTGTGTAGCTGCAATCAGAGGGACCACTGGGTGGGGCAGAGGGACTCTACCTTTGTTGTTGAAAGGCTAGTCAGGGCTGTTTGACAGAAGCATGTTGTTAAAGGTCATCTGTTCTTCAGCTGAACTGGATAAAGGTCTGATGTGAGGACAGAGCGTATTTTGTTTGTTCAGTCTTACCATTAGCTCCTATAAAGTCAGGTTACAGGCAGTGTTTATGCAACTATAAAATCTAGAAGCTGAAAAGGAAAAGTTACAGGACCATGGAAGTGATTTTTTTTTTTCTTCAAGGGTAACAGCATTATTATTTCCTGCATTTCCTTAATAATTGGGATACTTATCTCTCTAAATTACACATTGGTCCTTGCTTTATATAGCAACTCAGGCTTTGAGAAGACTTATCTTGAAAATCATTATGTGAATATTAAGAAGAACAGGATCAAATATTTCTATAACTCACTTTAGTATTTATTACTTTCTATTAGTATTTTAGTATTACTAAAATTAGTATTACTAATTTAGTATTACTTTCTTTCAGAGATAGTGAATATCTACCTAGTTTGAAAAAAAAAAAACAAAACCAAAACGCTGGACTATCTTCATATATGTTATGGTTTAGAAAGGTAAATATTCTTGCAAACCTTTGGATAGGATTATTTTTATAACTGGATTATTTCTAAACCCATAAAACACAATTTATTTCTTAGTTTGAGTATGTATCCAGGGGCTAAATTTTTTTAATATTCTTATGCAGTTAGCACAAATGTCTCTCTTGATTCCACTTGCTTCCTCACAGTTTCTGTTTTCTCTACCTCTAAGAAGGTAGACATTGCATTGAATAAAGTAGATGCCCATTAGTAAACAGTCACTACCCTTCTTCACCTTCTGAGTTATCTTTTCCATCTTCTGGGATGAAGATGGTAGGTAGACCACAGAAGCATCCAGAGTTACAGTGGTTCCTGCTGCAAAAGATGATTGAAAGGGTGATAGATGTTACTGTGAAGGGCTGAAATCAGTCTCAACCTGTTAGCAGTGGGTGCTTCCTAATCCCTATTTAGATTATCACAGTTCTTCTGATTTCTTGTAGTTTTCAAGTGGACCTTCCGATTCATTTACTGTTAAGAGGTGACACACAGATCGACATACCATATTTTTTTCTATTCTTTCCCTCTTTTTATTGGCACTCATTGAATATGTGTATTCAGTTACTACATACTTGTTCCTCTCCTCTCTTACTGATGGTGCAGTTTATCTGACTGAGTGAGGATCTCTGTGATGTGAACTCCTACACCAAGTTGACCTGAGTTCCCTTTTTTACTCAGGGGTGAAAAAGGGCACTTCTAGGGTATGATTATTCTCATCCTCAAGTAGACTTCCACAAAATGAGTTGTATGGCTGCTGACCCTAAAGCCTGGAGCCTGGACTGATTAGCTCAGTTACAGGACTCTGAAGGTGAGTGAAATGAATCTCAGTCTTGCGAGCTGGTTGGTGAAAAAGGCTACAGCATTACTTTAATGCCTGTATTAGATACATGCAGTATTGTTTCTGCTTTCTTCAGTAGCTACATCACACCACTTGTTTTATTTCTCATTGTTAACACTTTTATATGATATTTAGCTTAGCATGTTTCCTCATCTCTTAATGTTGATTCCTTATTCACTCTGCTAGTTGCGTCAAAGCAGTCCTTTAATTTCTGGTCTATACTCCTTAAAGGTTTTGCTTTAGTCTTATACTTTTGTATAACTGTTGTATGTTATCCAGGTTTTTAGCTGATTCCGAAGACAAAGATAAAATACTGTACCATTGTCTTAGGAGCTTTTATGACAGTGATCTAGGGTAAAACCGGAATGAAGTAATCCTTTTTACTGAATTACCTGCTTTAAGGATAGTAATTTGCAAAACTTAATGGGAAAAATAAAGATTGTGCATTTGTAATTTCTTAATGGATAATTGTAGTCAATTTGAATGGATTCCATGCTTGAATGAAATGTTGTAATTTTACTAATTGTGGTCACAGTTTTTCAACAACATTGTATTTTGGTTTATCACGTTTAGTGTCACGTTATGGAATAGTCAGGTTTTTTGTAAGGAACTGAGGAATTAGGTTTGTATTGTCTTAAAGAAGTGTCAGTATCCTGAGGATAAGAACTGGGCTTGTATTTTGAGCACATTTTTTTCATGTCGTATGTATACCAGTATGGATTTTAGCATAATAATCCTGGTTTTGATTATTTGGGGAGGCAAAAGTAAAGGGGCTTTTGTTAGAGGGCTTTTAATACTTTAGATATTTTCAACCAACCAACAACATCCTGTTTGTATGCTAGTTTGATAATTCGTTCTGCATGTATTGGTGCAGCTATGTGTCATTTTCTCTGTGGCATATGTATAAGCTTACCAATGTAATTGATACATTATTTTTCAAATTGCACTGTGATAGTAAACACAGTTGGAATTGTTCTGGTGCTTTATTCTTTTGTCCAGGCACAAATGAGAAAATTACTTGGAAAAGTAAGAGCCACATAATTTTTGTCTTCTTTACGATGTAAAACTGTGTTAATAGTTAATGTCTTTTATGAAGTGACCGTGCCAAATTGTTTAGCAAATACATTAGGAGTATGTGTTCAATATTTATGGACAGGGACATCTTTGGAATTTAGACAGTTTGCAACGTCAGGAGGATTGGCTAGAGAACAAAACATACTTTTAATATTTCATAAGGAAGCTTCTTAGTTACTCATTTTGTGAGCTTTGTCTTAATAAGTCATATCCTTGATGTACATTATGCAGCAAAATATCTTGACTTTTATTCTCAATAGGTTCCTTACTGTATATATTCCTGAATATTGTCCCATTGGCAATGAATGCTAATAAGAAGAAGCTATATGATTTGCATATTTGACATGTGCAGAGAAGGTCATGTTCCAAAATGTTGTGGATCTCTTTTTCTGTATGTCTAGAACAGAACATGAAGAGAGCTGAGAAGTTTGGGTTTGTGTCCAATGTGATGAAGTTTGACAATGTTCATAGTCTCAAAAGATACAGATGTGTTAAAGACAATTTCTTTAAATGGCTTTCCACTACTGCAACTCTTCTTTTTCATCTTCACTTTGTACAGCTGTGCTTCCTTGAGTTTGGCAAAGCTCTAGCTGAACTTGAACCTGCTTGCTGATACACAATACATACTGCCAGTTATTCTGGGAAATCACTAAGTAATATGTATGCATTGCAGCTAATTTTTTTTTATAGTAGAGGGCATTAAGGCCAATGTAGTAGAGAACAGGATCAAACTGTCTCCAGAGAACCTTGACAGAAAAGTCAAAAACAATTTACTACCATATTAGAAGTTCAGTTTTTCTTTCTAAATGTAAATTTCTTGCTGTACATCTCAATTTCATTTGCTAGGGAGCAAATGTGGGGTTTTTTTTAACCCTGAATTCAAATGGAAAGTAAAAATAGAAGATCACATTGTCATAGCAGCTTGATCTAAATATTCCTGCATAGAAAATGGTGAGAAATAATTACATTGTTAATACGAAAAAAATATGAGGTGCTAGATTTCTGTCATAACTTTTAGAAAGTGTTACTGAAATTTTAGATTTTTTGAAGGAAGGGGATATTTGTTGCTCTGTTTTTGTGCAATGTGTACATTGCAGGAATACAACAATTAAAAAGTCACATGGATATGTCACATGAAATGAACCCCAAACCCTGCATTTGCAGTTCTGTTATGAATGCTGTTATAAACTTGACAGGTGTGTAAACTATTCATTTTTTTCCATCAGAGAAACTCAAATGCTTAATAGGTGATAGGATCCGTAACACAGGGGGACTGAAGAAAACAAATAATGTGAAATTAATGAATACATATCTTTTCTTCATCTAAAAAATGGCACTTTTCTAATGAGGTAATCGTGTTCAGAATTATGTGGGTCATTTCTACTGTCCACCCAGAATAATTTATTTCAGTCAGAAAACAGTCTGCTTTTGAGAGTAGTGCTGTTAGTGATGCTTTATTCTGTAGGATTTTGAAAGAAAATTGATATCTCCTGCTGTTGCTGTCATCTGATTACTCACCCCGTCTGAGTAGATCAGAAGAATCTGAGTAGATCACAGCAGATATGGAAGCTCCTCAGGCATTAATGCATATAGCCATATTTATTTATGCTTTTCCTGGTATCTGGGCTGAAGTTGGTACTTTTAAAATCAGTGGCAAAATGTGTGATGAATTCACTGGAAGCAGTATGGGAGTCTTTTTTATATTCTTTTTGCATAGTAGTTTTTCAGTGAAATAACATCATCTGAGCTCTGTTGCAACAGCTGTGTTATATCTAGCTTTATTTTTTAAATTGGTTTGCTGAAGATCACTGATTTATCAGTTTTCACACTTTCTGCAACCAAAGCAGAGGTTCTCAGTCTCTTAAATAGAGGATTATTCAAATGTTTTTAAAACAGATTAATTTAAGAATTTAAATACCTTTACTCTCTTTATATTGCTGTGTAGAGTTAAAGGAATTTAATAGTGCTTAGACTTTTGAGAGGTTGGTTTGTTTTGGTTTTTTTTTTCTGAAGAG